GAGATGGAGTTTCACTCTTGTTGCCCAAGCTAGAGTGCAATGGCGCGATCTCGGCTCACTGCAAGCTCTGCCTCCCGGGTTCAAGCAATTCTCCTGCATCAGCCACCCAAGTAGCTGGGATTACAGGCATGCACCACCAAGCCTAATTTTGTATTTTTAGTAGAGATGGGGTTTCTCCATGTTGGTCGGGCTAGTCTCAAACTCCTGACCTCAGGTGATCCGCCCACTTCAGCCTCCCAAAGTGCTGGGATTACAGGCGTGTGTCACCACGACCGGTTTCTTGGTTATTTCTTTACCTGGTTCTCTGTGAAATTTCTGGGCTTACATTTCATTTGATGCCATTAGTATCTGGTCCTTCCTTAATTGCTGGCCATCAAGACTTCCATTATTTTTGTAAATTTCTTCAGGATTCTTTCCAAATAGAGTTAGTCCCCTCAGGAAAAGCTGTGGAATTCTCCATCCTGAAGTCTTGACTCTCTCCCTGGGCAGAACTTCTGCACTACGGCACCAGAGCTGGGGATAGGCAAATCAGCCTGCTTCTCTGGGAGGGATATCCGTTCTGTGAGTGGGCACTGGAGTGGAGGATGGTGTCCCTTGATCTCAGGTTGGCCCTCTCAGCACGGCCCTGCCCTGACAGGGAGTTAAGGTCTAGCATTCCTGGCCTGCTACGCCTGTTGCAGAGCCCTTGCCCCAATGGTGGGAGTTGAGTGGGTAAAGGGAGTGTCATGGGTTGAAGTGTTATGTTGAAATTAAAAATGACATGTTGGCTGGGCGCGGTGGCTCACACCTGTAATCCCAGCACTTCGGGAGGCCAAGGTGGGCGGATCACAGGTCAGGAGATTAAGACCATCCTGGCCAACATGGTGAAACTGCGTCTCTATTAAAAATACAAAACTTAGCTGGGTGTGGTGGTACGCGCCTGTAGTCCCAGCTACCCAGGAGGCTGAGACAGGAGAATTGCTTGAACCCAGGAGGCACAGCTTGCCGTGAGCCGTGAGCCGAGACCGTGCCACTGCACTCCAGCCTGGTGAGAGAACGAGACTATGTCTTTAAAAAAAAAGACACGAAGTACTAACCCCTAGTACTCCAGAATGTGGCCTTATTTGGAAATAGGAGGTTTCTACAGGTAATCGAGGTAAAATGAGATCATTCGGATGGGCCCTAGTCCAACATGACTTGAGTCCTCATATAAGGGGGAATTTGATGCATCAACAGATGTGCAGAGGGAAGACAGTATAAATGCACACAGGGAGAACACCATGTGAAGACAGAGCGATGCCTCTGCAAGCTTAGGCGCACCAAACGTTGCCGGCAAACCACCAGAAGCTAAGAAAAGGGAGGAAAGCATTTCCCTACGGATTTCATAGGGAGCATGGCCCTGTGAACACCTAGCATTCAGAACTGTGAGACAATCCATTCTGTTGCTTAAGCTCAATTTTGTGGTACTTTTTATGGGAACTGCAGGAAACTCAGTCCTCTCTGCTGTGATAACCTGGAATAGTGCTTCTACAGCACAGAACTGCAGAGAGAAGAGATTCTGGCAGCCTATTCCTCCTGGGGTGAAACTGCGGAAGGTTAGGAGCTGCGGGATGAGGGAGCCCATCTTCCTGGCTGCATCCATCCAGAGCAGAGGATCTGGCGTGGAGTTCCCATCACATGGGGCTGAGGGTGGGGGATGGGAACACGTGTGTCTCAAATGCCACCGACTTGCTGTTCTGAGACATAATGATCTCCATGTGCTCAGTGCCCTTAGAACAATTTCTAGAGACTTTAAATAGTTGATTTAAAGTATTTCTCATCAGTTAAACTGCTGTTTCCCTGGGGAGAGGGTCCACCAAGCTCCTCACACCATCATTCTGGGGTTCCACCTGTGTAATTTTTGGCAGATTAGGATAGAAGGAGATTCAGCTCAGAGAAGGCTATCCCGTCGCTTTGTGTCCCCCTCCTCTTGGATGAGACCAGAGTCCTCCCCCAGTCCCTGCTTATAGTGGAGACAACCAACCCCGAGACCTGCCTCCCTGCCCCACAGAGCAGCAGGTACAGGAAGGCAGAGGAGAGCTCTTGGCCCTCATCACGCAGCTGAGGACTTGGCATGGGTGTGACCCCAGAAGGTACCCAGAGCAGACCACTTCTGTGGGGAGGGTGGCAAATCCCAGGAAAAGAGGAGCAGTGGGAGGGAGAAGGGGTGTGGCTTGGGGACCCTCAGGTTTCCCCCCACAAGGGACAGAGCAATAAAATGGGGTGGTGGGACAGGGGTCTCAGAGCCAGGACCCCTGCCAGGTATAAATGCCCCACCTAATGGATGCTCATGAAATGGTATTTTACTCCCCACGAAAGACCTACTCTGTCCCCTAGCCTGCCCCTTTGAGATGGAATGGTTTATTTAAATCAGATGTAAAGAGTAGAAAGAGACAGAATACAAGCCCCACAGGTCCATTTGCCTTGGAGATGGGAAGTCTGCCCCATCCTCCCAGGTGTTCCTGGTCCTAATCTCCTCTGAGGGCTGAAGGCTCTTGCTGGTGACCCCTCACTGCTCCAGGGACGGCGTCAGCTCAGGGCATTGTGTTGTAGACCCTGTAGTTGTCCTTCTGCGTGATGTGCAGCTTCCAGGGGAAGAGGCGCCTCTGGGAGGGGAGGCTGCCAGCCTGCCTCACCATGAGCGCCACGTCCTCATCCGACAGCAGCCGAACCAGATCCCCCTCCGCGTCCCGGTAATTCAGGGCGATGTCCTCCCTCTGGAACTCCCGCCTGCACGGGAATGGTCAGGGTTAATCAGAGGGCCTAAGCGTAGGGGAGGGATAGGAAGAGGGGTAAAAAGAATTTTATGTCCTGAAGCCAGGAGTTAGAAAAGACCAGAGCCTGATACAAGCCTGTATCATCCAAGTAATCCAATCTCCCATTGCACAGATGGGGATATTGAGGCCTAAAAGGGAGAAGAGGATGGGTGCGGTGGCTCATGTCTATAATCCCTACACTTTGGGAGGTCAAGGAGGGGGAATCATCTGAGGTTAGGAGTTCGAGATCAGCCTGGCCAACATGGCAAAAGCCTGTCTCTACTAAAAATACAAAAATTAGCTGGGTGTGGTAACACATGCCTGTAGTCCCAGCTACTCAGGAGGTTGAGGCAGGAGAATCACTTGAACCTGGGAGACAGAGGTTGCAGTGAGCCGAGACTGCACCACTGCATTCAAGCCTGGGCAACAGA